TCTTTAGACCTTAGGTAATGATGTCTGTCCTCAGGTATTCAATTATAGCGTTTTCAAAGAGCAAACGGGCACACAAGATTTATAAAAGTCAAAATTTTGACAACATCTCAATTTGAACTCATRACCATAATTTTTTAACAAAATTTCTAGGGACAAAAACAAAGAGCAAACAAAATTTGTGACTATGGAAACAAGCTGCTACCAATTTTTTCACCAAAATTTTGACTTGGTAATTTCCATTAAAAAAAAAAAAACTTTATGTATCCGTATTGGCCGTATCATCAAGTGTAAAATCGATGAGGAACGATCGATGTTACTTGATCGTCCACGATCGACGTTTTGTGTATCTCCTGCCTTAAAGTAGGGCTCAGAATATTCAAAGTAGGGTTATAAGCCCTACTTGCTCACTCTGTATAACATATGTTAATCTAAAAACATTTGTCTCTATAATCCATTTCATTTAAATTGGCATAACAGTAGGCCATGATTGTGTAAACTGCGCTTTAAATGTGAAAAAGGCTTTACATATTAAGGAACTAAATTTGTCACTAAAAAAAGTGAGGTTAAGATAGTTAAAATTTTATTTTTCAAGAACCCTCTTTCAAAGGTTTTCAGAGAGAGTTTTTCTCCATAAAAAGTTTCATCCCTTTGTAGGTGTAGTTTTGACACCAAAAACATACACACCGGAGATGAAAGACAATTTATTTTCCGTGAAAGTTGCAGCCAAAAGGGGTTTGGATTTTGTCATTAAAAATKTAGGACAAAATTGTTAATTTTTAAACAATGGTAAAGTTGTTGCGATCGGAGTGGAAAAAGGAAATCTGTACGAAATGAAGCTTCGCGTACTGAAGCCTGAAAAATCGTGTTTTGCCGTGGATAAAATARTTTGGCTTAATTCAAATTGGTATATTTGATTCCATTAACTTAAAATGCCTAAAACAGGAACAAAAAGAAATTGATTATGTTTTCAAACATACCTTAGCGTGTACTTTAAATCTGGGGTTCTGAAGGGAACTACTTTTAATTATAATTTGAAAAAATAGTAGGAATAACGAACAACCAACGAAAACAGTGAAAAAACGAATACAAATGTCAGTCATGTCAGTTAAATAAACCATGTAGGTAAGTGATCAAAGAAAAACAAAAACCCCATCAGTTGTTATATCAGGGACATGCACAGGGCTACAAACTTAAATACGAAATTCCATAGCCACCTATTATGCCAATTTCAATGAAATATATTTTAGTTTACTTAGTGTTGCAAACCTAATTCATACACTGCTGTGATTAAAAATTTAATTGAAAGTAGGTATGATCTAACTCGTTTTAATTATTTATTTTTGTGGCACTTTCAAAAAACTAATTTTGTTCTGTTGATGTCTTGTTTTTTGTTCTTTATGTAGGTAAGTCAAATAAATAATAAAGCTTTACTTTATTTCATGTTTTTAGATTTTTATAAGTTWAAGCGATATACTTATTATGGTATAAATCACGGGGGTAGACCGGTGAGTCATCTGACGTTTCTCCTCACCACGTTTACATCACGATGACAAAACGTAAATTTTTTGAGGTTAGGTACAATATCTACGAGTTAGAAGTTGTTTATTAATGAAAGTGTTGCTTTGTATGATCCTTTGTAAAGGCATTTAAAATTTAATGTAATAGATTGGAAATGACTTTCTACATGCAGTGTATTTATTACATCATTATGTTTTCCAATGTTTTTGGATGTTGAAAACTACTATAGAATAAAATAAAATGATAACAGCACTTGTAATAAAATTTTATATTCAGCGTTATACTCCAAAACTCCAAAATATTCCTTACGAAGTTAACATAGCGAGAATCGAGTACGACATTTTTATCACCTGAAACACGAAATTATAACATTAACATTATAATTATACTTATAACTTAATTATAACTTTAAAAATTTTTAATACAAAACGTCTTAAAATTTGATCATCAACTGCTTGGTTAATCAGAATAATTGATGTATGTTTTGCTAATGTAAAACAAATTTTTCGTTGTAAAATTCATTGACGGTGGATTGGCAAATTTTGAGATATGTTGTACAATTTTACCGAAAAAAAGACGCCAAATGAGAGAATACCAAACGATCCAACGCTAAGGTGAAGTCCTACTTGTGACCTGGCCATCATAAATATTAAGTCTTTTCTAAGTCGCACATCAGCTTCGTACCATTTAGAGAACCAAATGGTATCAGGAATAGTTAGACTCTAGAAAACAAAAACGTATTTTTACAAAACAAGTAAAGATAAGAACATACAGCATTAATCAAATGTTGACCTCCAAGACAAGCCACAAACAATGCCAAAATCCAGCCTAAAACATGCACTAACGCCCCCAGGCTGTTATCTCCCTAAAAATAAATTTTTAATCTTCCTTTAAAGTGTTGAAATTATATGTAAATACATCGACAAATTGTTTTTCTAAACAGCCACAAATCGCCGCTGTAATTGTAAGATGTGCAAACATTCCATTCGAAAAACAGTTGTTTAGCCGATTTGATAAACTGAAATACATTATAAAAATTTACGAGTTTTAAATAAAATTAACCTACCTTAATATTTCCAAATGATACAAAATGCAAGTTTTTAATTTTCGTCTTGACACTTCGTAACTCTTCTCGTCTAAACATTCCATAATCATTATTTTCAAATGATCGATTCTGAGAATGATGTGATGTGCCATTTCAAGAGCATTAAAAGAGATTATCAAAGCAAGTTTCATTAATATTTGTGTTGAAATAAAAACATAGAAAAAAGTTAACTGAAAAGCTGGAAAATAATTGATCTCAAACGGAATCCAAGTTGGTGTCAATAATCCACAATTCTCCTTTAAGCCTTTCACTTCATTTATTTTTTCACATTCTGGCTTTTGCAGTAACTTAACTAAATTATAAATCATTACAGCTACGACACAATAATAGAAGAATAATTGTGACCAAAAACCTAAAATTTTTTCTTTTTTTTCAAATCCAGGCGGTTTACCAAACTTTTGAAAATTGGACAAATCCCGCAGGAGGTGAGCCACTTTTGGTTGGTTTTTTACATAAATAATCGTCATATAATAAAGACCACAAAAAGCCACAATTAAGGCAACGTCTTCACTTAGATGTATATCTGCATCGTCTAAATTGCTAAGTTATAATATAATCAACAATTTCTTTGGATTACCTACTTATTATGGACATGATAAGGTGCATGAAAACTGATAGGACCCAAAGACTGGTGATAAGTAAGAAAGCTGCAACACGGATGTAATACCACTTCCCTGGATTCATTTCGTCGGCTTCGTTGGGCCAAATAAGACTGTACTTTAATATTTTTAAAGTAGCACGACAAATTTTTATTTCCTGATTATTCTTCATATTAAAAACCTTTAGTTTTGTTAAGCCTTATTCATATTGAAATTATTGCTTGCAAGTTGCGCTTATATAGAACTTTGCTTGTAGGTGGAGTTTCAGGCGGAGTTCTATTGAATATATTATAGAGTGTACACAAGTAATCCTATAATTTATAAACTTGGCAGATATTCCATTTGTTTAGTTATTTACTTTTTTAGATAATAAGTACTAAGAAGAGAAAAAAAAGTACATCATATTTAATAAAAAAAATTAAAATAAGGTATGTTAGACAAAAAAAATTTTTTACTTGATCAATCATCATAAATTATACACTTTAGTACATGTAATAATAATTTTAAATGTTTATACAAACTAAGTCACATTTATAATAAAGACCCTGACCGATTTGAAACGACCACTGCAGAAAATCTTCGTGACGAGCTCAGCACGCAATTTTAATAATTTATAAAAAAAAGTACTGGCTAAAAAAATATTTAATTAGAGGTCATTTTTAGATCATAATCTTTAATTAAAAAAATTATCATAGCGGGTTGCCATTCAAAAAAAAAATTGTTTTCAAAACTCGAAAACTAAAAGAAATTTCGAAAAATGTTATTCTTAATAAATGGTCACCTTTTAATTGTACGTTACGCTACACTAATTATTTTTTTCGTAAAGTGGTTAATTTACGAAAAAACGCTTGGTTCCATATTTTTTATTCACCTGGTAAACTGTTCAATATAACTAAAAAAACTAAAGAAAAATTCGACATTAAGAGGTTTGAGATATCGAGAGAAAATTACATTAATTTTTATTAGTAAATGCTCAGGACCAGCCTCATCAATTTTTTTAAAGGTACCTATAGCACGTTTAATAATGATTGACATCTCAGTAGGCGTTGAGAGTGTAAACTAGACTTCAATTTTAGTTTTAAAAAAGTTACAAATGTGAACGTTCTTTAGATCGCACTACGTTATAAAAAAAATTACATTTCAGTTGAATTCTGTCTGGAAAAATGACTAACCTATTTGTAAAAAAAGAATATGGAAGAAACGTGAACAAAAAAGGAAATAGTAGAGAAAAAGCACAAAAACCACTTAAAAACGACAAATGTCACAAATTGTAAAAATGACTAACCGAGAGTCGATCATTTTGAAACGCTCTAAATCATAAATATAGTTCATGCCATCATCATCTTTTTGTTCGTGCCATTTTACCCAGGGGTAGCCGACTAGTATAGCCCAGACCGTTTTCGATAAATTTTAGTTCTGGTCCGGCCGTCAGAGGTCGCGATTAGCATTCTCATAATAAG